GTTATTTTGTATTAATAGCATTAATTCGTATTAATTAGAATATTAAGATAATATTAGTTCTAAGCTGAAGAACGAAGACAACCGACGAGGGAACTTAGTTTTTTATAGGTTTAGGCTCAACAAAGAAGTCATCCGCCGAGGGATTTTAGTAGCGATAGTATTACATAGTTAAGATTTAATTTATTTATAAGGTTTATTGTGAAAGGTGGGTGGATGTAGAACTTGTGATTCCATCTACCTACCTTGGGCCTCCACTCGCAGCAACCTCCTCGTGGTGAGGCCTGGGCAATCGGTATTCTCTTCGGTAAAGTACTGTAAACTGAAGACAATATCGAGCTAATGGCTGCGAACTTCGAAGCTATCTCATAAAACCACGTTCTATAGTATATTACATCGAACTAGGATCATTTTAGAAATCGATATGAGATTCAAAGTGTAAAAATGTCTAGTACTTTGAATGTTTTAGAAAATTATTCGAGATAAAGATGTATGGAACTACTGAAAATTACTTTAGATTCCTTTTCCTTATTCTGTAAATTCATTGATTGGAATATGAATGCTGCTGGAAGTATGAACATTTTCACAGGATAATGATATAAATGGAACTTTAACACTTTTTTAAGTGTTACAGTGATATTTCGTTATATGTTCCATAATGTCAATAATATTGATTTCCCCGCAACACCCATAATTATTACAAATGTCAATATAACGAAATATCTTTTATGCGACGTTTGTGGTGTAATAAAAATCTGTGTTTCTATTATGTTTTTGATACATATTACTCCGATATTTGAATATGTTTTCCACACATATTAGTCCGCTATCTGAAAATATACATACGTTCGTTGTCACTGTTAAACTGTTGTAATAACAATGGAATAATAAAATAATTTACTCAAATGTACATAATAATACATATACATATTCATAAAAACATTATTAAAGGCAATAACTTTTTTGTACGCGAAACAAAACCAATAGGTCTGTCGGGGCTGGAACCCAAGACTCCTTTCTAATACGGTTATTTTATAAGCGCAGATTTTTGGATAGCTTCGAGTTGAATTGAACCGTTATAATAAGGTTACCGTAACTATCGCAGCACAGGCGTTTTTGGTTTAATTTATTAGGGAAGGATAGAAAAGTATATTTAACGCGTGCAATTAATATCTCCATGTATTTTGTTATATATTTACAATTTTATAACAGAAACGTTAAACGTAACAGGTAGTCTCGCACTCGACTGAAGGATGGACATATGTAGGTGTCTTTCCAGTAGAGCGCAAGGCCAGCTAAAAGTCACATAAATATAATAATATTCGTCATAATAAATTCATTACAATCCATAATATGTATATGTAATATACGTTATGTAAATTTTTTTTCTTAAACATCCGTTCAACCGGTTCAGTTGTTTTCCCTCCAGCTTCATGCACTCTTACCGACTCCTTCCATATTAATTACGCCTATTATTACTCGCATTTTCTTTTAGTCTTTAGTATATTCGGATTGTCCGTACTTGATGATATTTATTATGTAACTCTCTCGTGAAATTCTCTGTCTTTCGCGAGTTTCTTTTTTAAAAAAGAAAAAAACTTTATTCTCTGTTTTCAATACATTTGTAACAATGCAGGAAACGTTCGAACGCTACTCGATCATTGTAGATTTCTTGGCGAGAACATTCAGAACGATTTCATTGATTTTTCTGCCTTCGTCGCTTAACGTATGTACAAAAACTTTGATTTTTCTTTTGGTTTCACTAACACGTGCTCTTTTCCCCTTTAAGCTCGGATTTCACGACATATTTTAGCATTCCATTATGATTGTTTCCTTAACACATTCACTGTTGTCAAATTTCGATGGTGGTTTTGTGTTGTATATACTTTGTACCTATATATTTTTTTTTTCAGTTAAATATAATTCAATGTAATATTACACTGTGATAACAATTACATTATATTGTGGTAAGACGTATTCTGAAATCAACTTCAGTTCTCGGCAAAAGATACTGAAATCAAAAGCTACTAGCTATTGTACGTTTTATTAACTTTTCTTTTTGATTCTGTGAGATTTTGATTTTGAATAATTTACAACAATGAAAGTGTTAAGCGTTGTTCGTTGAGTGATCCTTTGCAACATATTGTTTTCAAGTATACTAGACATCGCTACAAAATTTGTAAGATTTTAAGCAATAAAAAATTGGTTCTTAATAACAATTAGAGTAAGTATTCTTCTTGAACGTCAATGTACCCACGCGATACAAAACTCTCCATATCGAATCGGTAACAAGGGGGTTTGTGCTTTTAAAATTGTGCTCCAAAGGATCAAATCAAACCGTAGGAGGGTATCGCTCAATCGTATCAGTTGGAGTTACATCCTTGCGTTTCTTTCTGTTTTTTTTTGTTCGTGAATTTCCGAGTCTTATGGCAGTGTGTTACATATAATAACGAATTTACGGTAGTCTTTATATTACACCTATATGTATACGTATATTTTTACAAAAAGTCACGCACACACTTCGAGTCCAGTACTCGTCGAAGAATCTTGCCCCCTTCACGACGCCCCCCACACATTAACGTCACTGAAAGGCAGCGTAGACTCTTTATAAACGTTCAATTACGCGGTGTACAATCATTTCACGCACACTTTGCTGTCGTCTGTGTTAAGTCGAAGCCCGGCCATTGTCGCGGTAACATTAAACAATAACTATATCATGTGCTGTTCGGTTACGAACTTCGAATTTCTAAATGAAAAAACTTAGACAATTTGGTGGAAATTGTGCACGATAGGATAAAAACAAACTACGTTGCTCGTCGACGATCAAAGTTCCTGATTGGTTAACGATGCTTACATAAATGTTAATTCCATCTCCGTTTATACGTTTGAATAGTTCTTCGAGTATGTTTAACCTGATTGTTACCATTCAGATAAATAGTGTAACTCAATTTCCAAACAGTTCAGAGTCGGACAGTCTCTTGTTGAACTCTTTACGCAACGCAACTATTCGTAAGATTTAATTGATTATTAAACGACGTTACATCACTTAAAGATTATACATATTTGATCGTTTGATGTTACGACTTTCACATGATCATCTTAGTAACAATGCTATTCATTTGGTAGCACTGTTCAGTGGACGGTCCATTGTGTTCTCTGTACAGCAAGCACCTGGGGTGCACGCATGTGTGATATTTAAGACAATGAAACTTATAGTGTCGCCAGGAACTAGACAATGGGTTCGAGTATCTACTAGTTTCCATCAGCAGCTTAAACTTCCACGTCCTTTGATCGATTAAAACAAAAAACAGTTGTTTCATGCAACTGGGTCGAATCGTCAACGGGCCACACACAGGACCATGGATCCGGGGAATGGCGACAATCTCTCGGAGTTACACCGCGTAATCGTCACAATCAACCAGAGAAAGAAAGGGACAGAAACAGACGACTAAACGGTACGCGACACGGAGTATAAGGTCCTCTTAGAAAGTAGCAAACGTTTTTGGCGTTTCTTACGGTATAAATTCACTTTATGTACAAGGAACATCTAACATCGTAGTGGATAGCGTTTTTTATACACGGGTCATCGCGACCGATTCATCTTTGTTGAGCGTCTCTCCTATTTCCCACCGTAACGCCTAGAATTCATTATTATCGACTAGCTAAACTGAATGTACTGCGTTTTGATTCCGTATCGAAAGAATTATTTTTGATTGAAGTTCGGACCGATCGTAGAAAGGTAGTCTGGTACCGGGAGTTTCGGTACCGGTCATAGGATCATTCCCGATCTACTGTATATCGACGATAGATCTGTGGTAATCCAAACGGGGTTTACCACATCCATAAAGATTTTCTCTTTAATATTCACGTCGAAAAGGGAACGAAACTTTCTTCGTCTCTCGCGGGAACGTTCATCGGACAAATATCTATCTCTTTTTCCTGGATTCTCTCGAGGGATCTAGAGCGTCAACTCTATCCGGAATAAATCACCTTAGATCCCGTTCAACCGTTCTAAAAAGAGACACATTCGTCTTTCCGTTTCGTGTCCGATCGACGCTTTTTCCTTTTTTTTTCTTTCTTTTCTTCCGACGGACATCTCGCCTCTTGTTCGAGATCCTCTGTTTCTTCGTTTTGTCAACGTTTCCTCGTGTTCCTCGGCATCTTAGCCGAACTGTTCCTCCATCCACCCCCCTCCGTTAGTCGCTGGCTGGTCGTCACCTGATTGGCCGTAACGTGAGCAACGTGTACCCCGGGCCAGTTGTCGGTCCTAGTGCGCCGCACGATCTTCGAGGTCTCAGGGAATTTCGATTTCTCGTCCTCTCTCTCCCTCGAACGATCCGAATCCCCCTGGGACAGGAACTCGAGTCAGCGGCGACGTGGACCGTGACACTTACAGCAAGGTCGACGCCGTCAGAACGTCCGGGACGACTGGCTTCGGAGGGGGGTCCAAGCATCACACTCTCATCTCGTTCATTGCCGCCTGGGACACGCGACTCGACACGGTGGCGCTCTGCAACAGGGGCTGGTTTTCGGGTGGACTCTTTGCTCGAGGGGGTGGCGGTGCTCTTGGTACTGTCAGGTGTATGGACCCGTTTGGTGGACCCTGAAAGTTTCGAAGATTGTTAGAATATTCAGGATTCAGCCGATGATCAGTATCGATCGAGGTTTTAAGGTATAAGCTGTGTCTTTTTATTTGGAATAATTTTCTTTCTTTTTTGTACCGAAAAACCTCGATTGGAATCAGTAGTAATAATCCAAGAAACCCTCGAGTGGGTAACTGATAATTATTCGAAGTATTTACAGTAAATCATCGATGAGTGTTCGAAGGTTTCTCAGCACTGAGTGTTCAGACGTCATCCCCACCACTGGAAGGGTCCCTGTGGAACCAGTCAGGCGCCCAGTGGTGGGGATGACGTTTGAACACTCAGTGTCGAGGACCCTTCGAACACTCATCGATTATTTACTGTATACCACTTGTAACTACTGTATATCACCTTTTGAAATATTAAACAGAAAAAAAAGGGAGCAAAATAAATCTACCATTCCTTGTTATTTTATTCCCGTAGAAACTTCCGTTGAACCACGAGATGGTAAATCGAGTAATTATTCAGACGGTGTTCAGTGTCATAACACGTTGCCGACTGTCAACAAGTTCCCGTGAACGCGAACAATTGCCAGCAAGTTTTCTCACCGCCGCGGCTGACGTCGAATATTTTTCCTGATATCACGATCCTCGACGATAATGAGATTTCACGTCGGAGCTCCGACTGTTTCAACGACTTCAAAATGAAATCGAGTTACCGTAACTTTCGACGTGTTTGTCATTCGACGACTAAGGGATCTTTCCGAGAAAGTGGACGTTTCAGGGAGTGAATTTGATATTAAGCGACGACAATTCTAACAACCTAGGGCTGCTGTCCACGGAAAATAAACGTCTGACAAATGGAGTCGATGCGCTCCTGAAAGGAACGCATGGAAAAATATGTGGATGCAAGAGAACAATAAAATAAGGATAAATATCGAGACACTAAACCTTCGCTAATAAAGTCACATCCACAAGATCGATGCCCATTAAAATCCTTAAGCATCATCGTTTAAAAAATTTTAATTGAATCCCACCCGTGATATTTATCACGTGTTTCCGTAAGAAGTCAGATTATCAAGGTAGCAACGCGAGCATCGAGTTATTAAATATTTAACGAGCAAACCCCAGTTCCGGCTGCCGGCAATTTGTTAAGCGTGATCAACCGGTCGTAGCGTTTCGCCTGGACACGGTTTATTCGTCGAAACGAGGAGGCTGTAAAAAAAAAGCGGGGGGAAAAAACAAATTAATATCCCGCTACCGTGACTCTTATTGACCATAAACAGGAAGTTTATTTATGAAACGTAGATGAGGGGCGACGAGTCGCGCGCGAGCCTAGGGGAGACGGAGACGGTTGAAGATTTTACGTTGGCCGTTGATTTAAAAAAGTTCCGTTAACGACTGAAAGGCCTCTGGAAGTTTAATTCATAATCCTATTAAGAAACTTTTGAAAGTTCTAAGCCGTGGGACAGGGGAGGAAGGGGGGGAGGGAGGGTGAAATTTACACTGCAAAGCTTCTGACGTACCTCGGCCGGTCATTATTCTACCTACGGACAGTATCACCCTTTTATCTCGTTACTAAATTTCCGCGGGCCACGGGGTTCGGGTCAAAACGTGATGTTCATTAAGCGAAACTTTAATGGCCAGGCCCCCTCTCCCTGTTAACTTCACTTGCGTCGGATTTCGACTTTCGTTTTTACCGGAGATTTCAATTTCCAGGGCAGAACTGGCTGTCCTACCTTCCCCCCCCCCCATTCCTGTCTGAACTGCAACGAGATCTTATGAAAATTAACTTCTACGAGGGGAGGATTCTGCCTCGACTCGGTGTGCGTCCTTTAACCCCCGAGTTCTGTCGGATCTCATATTCGTAAAAGCACAGGGCAATCGGATTTATTTTTTCGGTGCTTCGAAGGTTTGTCGACGCGATTCGGATGGTTCTCGTTTGTCGATAAGCTTTAGACTAGGATTGTAAGTATTCGGATATTTGAAGCATACGTATTATTCGAATATTCGAATAATAGAAGTGTTTGAATTTCGAATTGTATCGAATAGAAATTTGACAAATAAATAATTGTAAAGGTTAATGTGAAAAGAATATCATGGTTAAGTATGAGAAAATATATTATGTTCAGATTCTTATGTAGTACAATCCAAAATTCGATCATTTCGAATGTTCGAATATTCCGAATACTTCGAATACTTCGAATATTCGTAACAGCTCTACTTTACACTTACTAGTACTGGTGCTAATAAATTACTCGATTACAGGAGGGTGGCAGCCGAAAACAAAAGAAAGTCCAGTGCATGGAGGAATGGATCAGAAATGAACGAAGATCAAAAGCAATGATTTTGCTAGAAAGGATCGAGAGGTAAAGTGATGGGGGTAAGAAATCTGGTGTCATAAGGAAAAGTAGTTTTAGATTAACATGGTTTCACCGTTTAACGGACGAGTAAAACGATTTGGTTCTCACTTGGGTTTGTGCGTTCATGTCCTGTATGACGGAAGCTCGAGGAAGAGTGGCATGCTGTTGCTGATGTTGCTTTTGATAGTGATGTTGATGAGGCAACGTGTGAGTTCCCTGGCCCTGTTGGAGAAGCGTGTTGGGATCGTTCGGAGGGCCTTTCATAACGTTCCTGTAACCACGATCCGATCGTTACACGTGACCCGTAACGGTTCGGCGAACGAGATGCAAGTAATCTTGATAAATAAATTTATTGTCGTGCAGTGGGCCTACAACGAGGGAAAAGGTGGCCAATGATTGGAACGCAAATTCGAATTTCTTGCGGATATACGTGACAGATAGGTGTTCCCGGAAACGAGTGACGTGAAATGTTTATTTACAGGGAAACTGTACAAATGATTGATCGGTGCGAACGTCCGAGGAAGATAGATGAAAGTAATGGATGTACTTGATCACGTTAACATAAATTTAGTAACAGGATATTTACTCATTGGCTTGGACTCAAATGCAATGCTACAGTTAACTTAAATTCCTAGCAAGAGCTACGAACACAGAAGTGTAATATTGAATGGAATATTCCAGTAAGAAAACGGTCTCGTCGCCGCAGGAGCTGTGGCCACCTTTTCGTTGACTTGTTCCACTGCGAGCTGGTTAATCACAACCCACCACCGTCACTCTTTCGGCCATTAAATACCTAATCATTCGAACGAGTCGTTCAAGTATCATTATTCCGCATACACGGCGAGACAACAAACAGTAAATACATCGAATACAGTACCTTCTTAGCATCTCGTTCTCAACGTCGACGATAACCTGACCGCCTCCAGGGAAATGGGAATGCGGCGGCGGTGGTTGTTTGAGCTCGGTGAAGCCCCGTGGGCCGCACTGTTGATTCAACATCTGTTGCTGCTGAAGGCTCTTCACCTCGAGCCTCGTCTTGTCCCGCTGATAATAAACACCCGCGAAAATGAGAACGTTCAGGATCAGCAGGCTGCATCCGATGGCGATCGTGACACTCAACGCCGTCGAGTACGCGGCGTACCTGTTCGATGGATCAGAGATCAGCTTAAGATCTGCTCGAGAACATTCAGGTAATTACAACCACAAATATTATCAATTTTTATTATAAAAAAAAAACGAATTACCAAACAGACGTGTTTCAATTATCTTTCTAAAATAGCATGATAATGAGAAATTCCTAATTTTGAATTCTAAAGGAGAACGGCAAGCAATTGCCTGAAATTCGCGCTACAGTATTTCGTCGATCACTGTCTGGTTCTACACGATTTTTGTCAGGACGTCATTCTCGGGCTTCTAGCAAAAAACAAATTTACTAGGATCTGAAGTATTTCTCCCGTTCTAAGCTTGTCACCAGCGGCACCGAGTTCTTGACAATAATCGACAGAACACTGTATTATCATCGTCCCCGTAGACTCGAGCAAAGTTTGTTGCAATTCGACCGAGAAATATATTCTGGCTCTTGGTCCAAGGATCCAGAGTAGATGTTCTTCAATTAACGTGGACTTCGTTAGTTCTACCAAGGGACACTACGGCTTATTACGTACCCAGCTGCGTCCAAACTGGCCAGCGTGTCGGTGCTCGCGTTGTGAACGTTCTGAAGATTCGTGCTCTGTATGTAGCTGACACAGGTGGCGGCGTTGTAGTCGGTGGTGGTCGGCGGCTCGGTGGTGATGTTTTTCCTTTTGAATTCCTCGCTGATCCTGCTCAACGGGTCCGGCCTCACCGATCCGTCGTAAAGACTGGGATCCGAGTGACTGCGAAACAGGTTGTGCCTCGAGTCCACGTCCTCCATTCCGGCCCGATGGAGCTCCGGAACGAGACGCAGCCAGACGGAGAGCTGATGGGCCCGATAATGATTCTTCAGTTTCGGTCGAAGACCTGGAACCGGAAGTGAACCGTGTGCTCAGCGTTAACGATCGATCGTTCGAGCCGGAGATATTTCTATTTATAAGTGATCCTACAATGACAGGTTCCCAGATGTAATGCTGAATTTTGTAATAAAGTTTAATGTCATTGATAGAGTTTCGAATTCTGAAGCCAATGATATTTGATCACTGGATTAAAGGGACTTCGCAAACAAGAACGATCGTAGTTTCTGATTAAAATACTTTTTAAAACGCGGTTCCCTGTATAATGCCATTAATGGCCTGAAGAACGTGGTGCTGAATCATCTTCAGAACCTTCCTCCGTTGCTTGGCCCGACACTCTTTCTCCCCTTCTCTCGCCATCAACGCATTATCGTGTTATAAAATTCTCGACGTGCAATGAAGAATTTACGATGGTGCTAGTCTGTTTCATTGGAACCTGGAATTATTCGTGCTCCCATTAAAATTGCCGGGAGGCGAACGAAATGAAACGGTTTCCACGGGAAAATTTCGTCCCGTGAATGGTGGGTGCTCGTCGCGACGGTTCTGTTCAATTTTCATTGCGATAAAAAGGTATATAAGCCCGTGGTCGGGTGGCGCCGGACCTGAGAAACCTGGAAATGCTTTCTTCGCATCCTCCGAATAGCGGTATTTCTTTCGAAATTCCATTGAAACCCGGGGAGTAAGCTGATTCCGAAAGGGATGTTATTTCGGCTTCGTATAGAAGCAGATTTTCACGGAAACTCTGTAACCTGTGCAGATATTTGGAAGGCTAGAATTACACTGGTTGTATAATTTTAGAACTCTACTGACCTAGGCCATAGATCTTTAGAGCTGCATGTCCCTAGGGCTCTAGAATCGTAAACTTCACCAAGGTTCTAAAGCCCTGGAACTCTACGATATAGCCTACATTTCGGATCGTGGAATCTCTGGAGACCATGCACGTAGAATCCTAAATTTCAGTAACCCGAAAAATTCTGGATCTCTTCGACTCAGATGAATAATATTCCTGTAATTCTGCCAACTCTTATACGATCCAGCTGGCGATCATAGAATGGAACATCACCCATCCACTGGTTAAATCGAGAAAGTCGCGAGCACGTTTCGCGCGAACAACAGTGCGAAAACGCAAAAAGAAAAACGGGGAAAAGAGTCGATTTCGTCTAATCGAACTGAAAGATTCAAACGCATCCAGCCGCGTCAAGCCCTTCTCGAGGCTCTCCCCATCCTCCAGCGGTCCGCACGAGCGCACTCCAGCAAATCAAATGTCACTGACGTGCCTCGAAATGATTCACGAGTCTCGATACAGGAGATTCCTGTCGGAAATCGCTCCCCTCGCGTGCCGCTCTCTCTCTCTCTCCGCGCCCCTTCTGTGCCGCGAGGCCTGTCATTCACGGAAACGTTTCCAACCGTTCGCTCGAGATTTCTCCGTAAATGTCTCTAGAATTTTCCGACTGGAACACGTGACTGGTACGATAACGGGCGTTGCCTCATTGGTCACGGGATTACGTCGTTGTTTTGTGTATCCTCATAATTTCCATCGAATCTATTTTATTTGCGTTCTTTTTTACTATCCATTCGTCGTGCAGCTCTAAACATTGTGCATACAAGTGGATCCCAAGTGGATCCCAAGTTGAATTCAAGTTGATTCCAAGTGGATCCCAAGTTGATTTCAAGTTCATCCCAAGTGGATCCCAAGTTCATACCAAGTAGATCCCAAGTTGGTTCCAAGTTGATTCCAAGCGGATCCCAAATTTATTCCAAGTTGATCCCAAGTTGCTCCCAAGTTTATCCCAAGTTGTTCCCAAGTTTATCCTAAGTTGTTCCCAAGTTTATTTCAAGTTGCTCCCAAGTTTATTCCAAGTTGATCCCAAGTTTATTCCAAGTTGATCCCAAGTGGATCCCAAGTTTATTCCACGTAGATCCCAAGTTAATTCCAAGTGGAAGACCTGAAAGTATCACTTTTGGTGCGCATTGGGCCGGCCGTTAGGGTATGACGAGGGGGAGGTGGGTTTCGTACCGAAATTTCTGTTCGGTGCAATTATTTTCATTAATTTCATTGTTCCAGTTTCGTGCAACAGGGCGCACGCATTAACGCCGGACGGTTTTCTCATTTGCCCGGATGACAAATCCGTCAGCCACCGTTGGCCGCTTTAATTAACCCTGGCTGTCCCCTACGCAGTGCTTTCGCTAAGAAAAATTTCGATCAAATTAATGGCGAGCCAAATGGGAGTGGCTGGTGGCGTAGGCTGCGATTTGCTTCTCCACTGATTTTCAAATTACCGTGTACTTACTAAGTCTGCATATTTTATCGTATAAATATTTGAGATCGTCTGGAATGAGCTACTGACTCGCAACGGATCGGTATTATATCGACAGTGACACCGTGACTTCTTTCGCAATTGCAGAGATGATCAGGATTTAAAATATCAGTCCTCGTTAATTTGTAATCTTTGGTATATCGAGAGAGGAGCTTTCGTATTGTAAAAGATGTGAAGAGCCCATTGGAATTTCTGGTTTCTCTTCGTATTATTAAACGTTAACCCGATCATTGGAAGAACATTTCAATGTTCCCCCCGGTTTGTCGTTATTAATTATAACAGCGGATTATTACGTTGAAAAAAGACTGGACATCGATTCAACGTTACATCTATTGGAACATAAATCGTTTTTCCGCTGCTTCAGAACAATTACCATCCGAGTGCGTATTAAACGCTCTACAAGAAATTCAAATGATTTTATTTCATTTCCAATCGAATTACCTGTAACCACGCGTATACTTGGTGAACGAACTGGATCAGTAATACGCCTATACGCACGATTGCTGTAAATCGTTTCGAATAATAATTTCATACATTCAGTCACTCGTACCGCAGGATTACCTTTCAAAGTTCTCCCCTACGGATATTTACATCCACCGATTGAATTACGTTCCACGAAAAATTACAGTTATTAATTCGTCTCCGGTTTACGCGAACGTGACGCAAACATGGCGGTTTGGCGGCCAGGAACCGACGTGAAAAATGATATTACGAGGGTGTCACCGCACACGCGTTCCGCCCTTTCCGCGACATTCGATTTCCTATATCACGGGCAGCTCGAAACCGCCCCAGAAATTTCGACCCGGTCGACCAACGGCTGCGAGCAAACGGATTTCCTTTTAAGGTTTAACGTTCCGCTAACATTCTCCGACGTTCGATCTACCAAACCTCGTGAATCCTTCAGTCATTTCGTGACCAATGACAAAATATTTCTGTCAGGCGTATACGCAACTTTAGGGTCGGAACGATGGTGATATTTTTTCCATGATATTCTGTCTGTTAGCGTGAAAGATACGGGGGGTAAGCGTTTTCGAATCCTCGCTACTCATCCCCATTGTCAAACGTCGAAATAGAGAGAGAGAGGGACTTCGCAAGCTCGATCTCGTGACTACCCATACGTGAGACCGATTTTCGGGATCGCTTCCATACGTTCAACGGTGCACGCGCGACCAGGAATATTCTGACACCGCATACATCAATATTTAAGTGGGGCCCGCGTCCGTTCGATTTACAATAAATCGTATTATAAATCTATCCGGTGTGGTTTGGATCTGGAAGATTTTCAGGTGAAACGCCGCCGCTGTGTACGCTTCGGCGATTTTCAAACATTTCCTAGCGGTGCACGACGGGGAATGGGTGCAAAAACGTTTTAAAGTTTCAGCTGATGTCTGAGAGATCTCAAGAACGAGGCATGTTTCTGACAGTGGTAGAGATAGTAGAAAAACACAGTGGAATATTGTGTATTCAGTCAGACAAGTGGAATAGTCTGTATATAGTCGGACGAGTAGAATAAAATTATTTGAAATTTTTAAATAACTTGTTCTGTTTAAGTGGGAAATACACGAAAAGTAGTGAATATTGAACTAGAATCTTAATCCCGGGTCGTATGGATCGGAGAACTACAGGGTTAAATATCGTTACAAAATTTTGTGTAAAATTAACATTCGTAGTATAATGTAAAAGAAGATTAACGTCATCTATAGGCAAAACGCATATATTTTCGACGATTTATACTTAAAAAAAAAAGCGAAATAAAACGTGTCTGACTACGTACGACCTTTTTCACAGTGGCAGTCAACGTGTTAAATCAATCTTAAGTTCACGGTTATCTTGATTCTAACACTCGAGCGTGTATCGAGTATCATTTAGGTCAGCAGTGCTAAAAAGGAGGTTCCATGCATCACTTGAATATCTCGCGAACAGTCGATCACTGCCACGGAGTTTCCCCATGA